ACCCGAGGTTGAGTTGGTCGTAGCTCCCCGCGTATTCCAGCGACTCGATGATCGTCCTCAGCTCATAATACACCCTGTCGCTACTGGCTATGTTCTTACTGTGCGCCCACTTGTCCAGCAAGCCCAAAGGGACACAGCCGGCACGCCCCATGCGCGCGCAGAAGGGGATCGTCGTCGACGGCGCGTCTAGAGGCCAGTCGGAGAAAGAGTGCTTCGTCATCTCGGCCACCACCTCCCTCCACGGCTTGAACATATTCCCCTGCGCGTCGAAATCCACGGCTAGCGTCCTACGTCACTGTCGGCGCCGCTCGCGCCTGCACCGCAGACGGCCCGCTCCCCGCCGTTGAGGCGGGCCGCGAGCGGGTCCAGGCCATCCTCCGACCGCGGCGCGGCGGTGCCAGCAGCCGCCTCGGCCCCGCCGACCGCCCAGCTGCGGGGGCAGCCGCTGCCGGGCGGCGGGCGCGCTCGCGGAAGGCCTCCTGGTCCTGCGCCGACATGGCCAGCACCTTGGTCCAGCCGCCGCCGTCCCTCACGAGGGTCTCGTGGAAGCCTTCAGCACCCAGCAGCACGTCGCCCCCGCCGACCTCGACCACGTCGCCGACGCGCTCCCAGCCGACCGAGAGGTCGACCACGGTCCGCGCCGTGCCAGCGGGCGGCGAGCGACCAGCTCCAGCCAGCGACAACCCATCGGGCAGGCGAGCCGCCTCGTCCGCACCGCCGCCACCAGCGCCGCCTCCAGCTTCGCCAGCCTCAGGCGCGGCCGCGCCAGCTGTGTCGCCAAGCAACGCCTCGATGGGCCGCTCCCGCCCGCTCGGGCTGACGTAGACCTCCACGGGCGGCAAGGGAGCGCCTCGAGAGTCCAGCAGCGCTTCTTCACGGGCCTCCGCGGCGAGGGTCCTCAGCTCCCTGGGCCCTAAGTACTTTTTGAACCGATAGACGCTCTCGCGGACGGCGGCGGGCACAGCCCCGCCCCGCATAGCCCGCGTCTGCGCTGGGCCCTCCACCGCCCCGCCAACACTCTCATCGTACACGTGACCGTCGGGCGTCAAGATCACCCACGTCCCCGCTTCCGCAGTCGACCACAAGCACATCCTCTCGTGCCAGACCGTGTCGTCCTCGAACCACGCTGGGTACAGGTCTCCTGGCCCTGCGCCTCCAGAACCCCCGCGCCGCTGCGCCTTATGGTACCATCGCCGTGTCGCCGCCGCTGACAGGCCGAGGCCACGAGCCACAAGGTGTTGACCAGCGAGGCGACACAGCCCAGCGCGTTCGCCCCGTCAAATCTCTCCTCACACCTGCCGCTGTCCGCCTCGCACGCCCCGCCGCCGACGAAGGCAGCCACCTCGGCGGGTGGGCACACGAAGCTCGGACACGGCGGGCACTCGGGTCAGGGTGCACCGCCACCAGGGCAATGGAATGGCAGCGGCTGGGTGAGAAGTGGCCTCACCACCGTCTCAGGAAAGCCACAAACACCGCCCCTGTGCTGGCGGCCAGGCCTGGATTCATCCCGCGAGAAACTTGAGCATGAACAGTTGCAGAGGCAAAGGTTCCAACATCGACCCGAGACGATCCCATTCAAACCTGCGCACGCACATACATCGTCATCATCATCATCATCATCATCATCATCATCATCATCATCATCATCATCATCAGCATCATCATCATCATCATCATCATCATCATCATCATCATCATCATCACCACCATCATCATCATAATCATCATCAGCATCATCATCATCATCATCATCATCATCATCATCATCATCATCATCATCATCATCATCGTCATCGTCATCATCGTCATCGTCAACATCATCACCATCATCCTCCGTCTCCTCCTCATCATCACCATCATCATCGTCATCATCATCGTCGTCATCGTCATCATCATCATCAGCAGCAGCAACATCATCATCATCATCATCATCATCATCATCATCATCATCATCATAATCGGCATCCTCATCCTCATCCTCGTCCTGCTCCCCCTCCATCTCCTCCTCCTCCTCAATCTCCTCCTCCTCGTCCTCCTTATCATCATCATCATCATCATCATCATCATCATCATCATCATCATCAGCAGCAGCATCGTCATCAGCATCATCATCAGAATCATCATCATAATCATCATCATCAGCATCACCATCATCATCATCATCATCATCATCATCATCATCATCATCATCATCATCATCATCATCATCGTCATCATCTACCTCCATCTTCGCTATGGTCGGTTGGCAAATCAGCTCACGCAGCTGGTTTCCAAGCGCCGCTCAATGCCCCAGGCGCCCATGTATCCAGGAGAGCACCTGGCGGCGGGGCCGAAACTGGCTGAATGCAGCAGAATTCGCGACCCCTCCTTTCCCAATCCGCCCCCCCTTCGTCCGACCCGATGCGCAATGTACTTTCTCCCACTCCCCCAACAAGAGGCCTCTTCGAACCAGAACGCTCCATTCTTTTGAGGTTGCGTCTGTCCGCTTCTTGACAGCAAAGACCTGGCCAATCGTAACCGACCGCCCGCTGCGTGTTTACTTGCAGCCAGCAGCGCAGCTCTACTGATACACCTGAGGCTGGCGCATGGGCCCTAAGCTGGGAGGAGATGACCGTGATGATGGTGACGAGGCATGCCAAGATAAGCAAGCGGAGGGCACCACCAGGGCCAGGAGACCTGCCGATTGCATGGCAGGACGGCGGGCAGAGCACCCGGGGACAAGGCCGTGCCGAGGAGATCGGCAGGAGCCGTGGGCAGCACCGGTGCCGCGGACCGTCTAGGGACGAGGCCGAACAAGGGAAATCTGGCGGCCTCGAAGGGCGGCACCAGGGTCAGGAACCAGGCCGAGGCCAGAGAACTGCGCGGCTGGGCCACGGCCGGGGGCCGTCAGGGGACACGGCAAGACTGAGGAGAAGGCGGGCAACGGAGGGCAGCTCCAGGGCCAGGGGACAGGCACCAGGCCGAGCCACGGAAAGCAGCACCAAGGCCAGGGATAACCAGGGCCGGCTGGGGACGAGGCCAAATGAAGGGAAGCGGGCGGCGAGAGGAGGGCAGCCTACGAGGGCCAGCGACGGAGGGGGAAAGCCGGACAAAGCCGCACCAGAGAACTTGGCAGCAGCAGAGGGCAGCACCAGAGCCATGGGCAGCCCAGGGAAAGGCCACACCAAGGAAATCGGCAACAGTCGGAAGGCCAAGCCAGGGCCAGGGACCGCAGGAAACAGGTTCGAACCAACGAATTTGCCGGCCACAAAGCGCAGCACCAGGGCCAGGGACAACCGGGGACAAGGCAAAGCATAAGAAACTGGTGGCAACGGAGGGCGGCACCAATGCCAAAGACAGCCGGAAACAAGGCCCAAGCAAAGAATTCGGCAGCAAAGGAAGGCCAGGGCATCCAGGGATGAGGCCGAAGCAAGGCGACCAGGCGGCCGAAAGGCAGCGCCAGGGCCGAAGTACAGCCGGGGGGGTAAATTGGCAGGAAACGGAGGGCAGCGCTCCCCTGCGCCACCTTCGCCGCCGCCAGGGAGAGGGCTTCCAGACTTCCCAGCGGGTGGGACAGCACCAAGACTGCCGGCCTGACATGGTCGAACGCCACGGCCGTCGGCCCTGGCAAACCCAGGAAACTGCAGGGAACGGAGGGCAGCACGCACCTGGGCCAGAGGGACGGCACGGGGTAAGGCAGGGCCGAACTGCCGAAAAAAAAAAATAAAAAAAAAACAAAAAAAAAAAAAAAAAAAAAAAAAAAAAATGGCGGCAGCAGGCGACAGCTGCCGGCCACCATGAAAAAGTTGGCGGCAGCGGGCGGCAGCGCCGACGCCGAGGACAGGCGTGGATAGGGCCGAACCGAAGGCATCGTCGGCAGCGGGGGGAACCACCAGGACTAGGGACAGTCGGGGACAGCTGGGGGACGAGGCGGCCATGGACCATCTGCCAGACCACCCGAACCCCGCCCGAAGTCCCGAATGTAGGGTTTGGGGGGCGTACGGGTTCCGTATGTGTTGCCTCAGTGTTCTGGGATGCCCCCCTTCTCGGAACGGAGGGCAACTTAGGGGCATTCGGGTTGGGTTGGGGTGGCGTGGTAGGCTGTGAGCCAAGACCAGCGGGGGGACATGGCCGCAGCACGCCTGGTCCCCGGTGACGGGAGGCGGCGTCTGCCAGGTGCTAAAAAAGACCTTTCTGTTGTGCTGGCACGAGTCGCGCAACCTCCTGCATGTGCTGACCGCCTTTTCCCGCTGCCTGGTCCGTAGCCAGCCTTCGGCATGAGACAAGCGTTTCCTGAAGGAAACGGGTCCTGCTCGGGGCTTCCTAAACGGGGTTTTAGCTAAACGGGGGCTTAGGCTTTTTCATATGCCCCCGTTTACTATGCCCCGTCTATAGCGCCCAGGACCCCCTAAACGGGGGCATAGCCAAACGTGACAATCGGCGTTCCCCGTGCCCCCGTTTGCTGTACCCCCGTCTCTGGCGCCCTGACCTGCACCTCAGGGCTTTCCCCCAGGATCGACTCTTCATCTCGAGCCGTGCCTCGACGGCCCCAGGGCCCCCGGGCGGGCCTCGAGGGGCCAGGGCACGGCGGAGAAACTTCAAAGCCCACTTCCCTCGGGACCCGCCCGCTGCATGGCGAGACCCGCCCGCTCCCAGACGGAGATGGGCCATCGGGTCCCCCCTTGAGCCGAGTCCTCTCTGCACCTGTGCCTGGCCAGGTAGGACCAGGTGTCAGGGGCGACGTTGGGCGATTGCGGGCGCCGTGCCGGCGCCAGCGATGCATCGGCCATGCGGCGCGATGCACCAACCCCATCTGCTCTGGACCCCATTCCCCGAGATCCGACTGCGCGAAAAAGTGACAACGCAACGCGACAAAGCACGACAGGAACCCTAGACCCCATCTTTGCGCTGCATTTCTTCGAGCCAAATCAATATGTGATGGACCCGGGCCCGACACTGGGCGAAAACGCCCAGTGCGCAAAAATTGAAGCGCATGGATTAAACTTTGCAGTCCTGGACACCTAGGCCTGTCGAGGTAGGACCACGTCAGCCGGTGCACGCGGCGGTACGGCGACGTGTCCCAGCGCCGCTGCTCCTTGGCACGCCCGAAGTGGGTACGGAGAAAACGGGTACTGTCCCCGAGAACAAGTGTTGCCCAAAAACGACAGCGGCCGTTGTTGGACAGGCGACTTTCTGTCCCGCATGGACACCGACCGCGGCGGCACGGGCAGCGAGTCCTGTTAACATGGACAGGATCTGCTGCCGATCTTGGCAGGGGGCGCAGAAAGACATACTACCACGACGTGCTGATGTGGGAGGCGCACGTCCGACACGAACATACAGCACAAAAGTCTTATAACCTGTCGTCGCCAGAGAGGCATGGCCAGAAAGCGCCCGCCACGGAGTTCATACCAACAGGTCTCTGAGCGTGCGCGTCGCCCTTGCGGGGCCGACGCACCCATAGTATGAGTATGTCCGAATGGTGCCGATCGCACCCATTGTTTCCGCAGCCATTTCGAGCGTACTTCGGTGGTAACTCATGGGAGCCTTCCATGCCATCTTGCTGGCTCTCGCGAATCGGCGCTGATCGATGCGAATCGGCGCTCGCCGACGCTGGTCGACGCTCCATCGGCACTAGTCAGCGCTAAATCGGCGCCTTCCCATCGATTACCAGACGCTGGCGCACGCCAATGCACTCTGAAGACGGAACTGCGAAGACACGCAAGGCCCCCACGAGTTGCTACCGAGCGCACCTGCCCGTCGGAAGAGGCAAGCAGAAACATACGAAGCAGGAAGGCGGATAAGGTAGATCGGGCCCGAGCCAGCCCACAGAACCACCAACAGCAGCAAAAGCAGATCGGCTCCTCCAGCAGGAAGGCGCTCGAGGCAGATTGGGGACCCGGGCATCCAGACACGCCTGCGTGCCTCCAACGACTGACGTGCTCATCTCGCGCGCGCCGAGCTCCAGCCGCGCCCCGAGCGCGGGCGGCGCGCGGCCCGGCGGCGGCGCGGCCGCCGCGCCCCCCGGGCGCCCGCCCAGCGCGCCCGCCAGGGCGCGGCGCCCCCGGGCCATGGCGGGGCTCAGCGGAGGGCGCGCTCTCGGTGTCGATGTGCGCGCGGGCAGGACGTTCGTCCACGGCCACTGCGTTTCGGGACCCTTCTGGGGAGGGGCGCCACAGGGGGCCCAGGCTCAGCGGGTGCACGGATAAAGGAACGGACGCTCGGCCAGGTTCTTGTGCGTCTCCACTGCACCTCGGTGTGCGGGAGAAGGGAGCCTGGAGCTCCCAGATTCGAGTAGTGGATCTACCACAGAATTGATTTACCCCAGTATCAATTCTCTCGTCGAATCCACTCAGCATTCACAACATTCCCCATAGATTTGCGAACTTTCTACGTACTCGTCGTAGCTCCGATCGGACTAATCAAGTTTGGGGTAGATCAATGCTGTAGTCGATCCCCTGCTCGAAAGATGCAGCGGATGTGGATGCACGTCGTGCCCGCAGGTGTGCCCCGACGTCCTCGCGCCGCGCAGGCGCCGCTCAGAGGAGGCAGCTCCGGGGGGGGGGGGTCCTCGCCAGGACGAGTCAAGGCTCAGAGCCGAGACCCGCCTCGGGGGCCACTGCGCCGGATGAGGCTGAATTGGGCCAGGGACGGAGCCGAACTAAGCGGGGTCTGGCGGAATCGAGCGGGACCAGAAGACAAACGACACCACCCCAACTGCGGCACCACGAGCCGCAGCGTACACCAGGGCACCCGGCGTGGGGTTTTGCACGGTATGCGCTGCGGCCCCCGATGGGCCGCAGCGCAACATGGAGGGCCGTAGGTGGGGTGGTGTCGCTTTGATTGGCCGAATGAAGCTGGCTTTGGCGGGATTGGACCAGATTCGGATCCTACTCTAGCGCGAATTTGAAAATTTGATCTCCCAAGAGTCGCATCCCAAGCGAAGGGGGGTCCGGCCGCTTTCGGCCACTGGTGCCCTCAAAAACGGCTCGAGGTGAAAAAGCTGCCCTGGGAAAAGGGTCCAGACCTCTGAGGTCGCGCACTGAAAAACATGTCGTCGGATGTTTGGGAGTACCACTATACCTGTCCCCATACCCGGTGGGCCAGGGCTTCTCGACGCCGCCAGCCTGCCGCCTCCAAGTGGGCAAAAATGCAACAGGATCCGACGGAAGCGGCATCCATTACCACCTGGGGGGGAAGGTCGACCAGAGGGAGAAAAACCCTTCCCCGATGGGGATGGGGACTGGTCTGTCGATGCTGACGCTCCGCAAGCGGCGCGTGAGCGCGCGCGCGCTCGATACGACCGAGCACCCCTCTCCGCCGCTGGGCCGAGATTGCTGTTGAGGTGGGCGCGCGCACGCGAGCGCTGGTGCGGATTCACACGCAGTTGCGATCGCTTCCAGTCATCTTGTTTCGGCACGTCTGTCCCTCAACCTGGGTTCTCCTCATCTCCTCCTCCTCCTCCTCCTCCTCCTCCACCTCCTCCTCCTCCTCCTCCTCCTCCTCCTCCTCCTCCTCCTCCTCCTCGTCCTCCTCCTCCTCCTCGCCCTCCTCGTCCTCCTCCTCGTCCTCCTCCTGCTGCTGTTTACCCTCCTCCTCTAGAAGCCAGCCCTCTCCAGCAGAGATCGACACGAGTGTCGAGCAAGCGCCGAAGGCTGTTTCCAAGAACTGGGCGGGAGAGCCTAGCGCCATGAAAGCAGAGAGCCCTAAAGGCCAGGGTGGGCCACCGCCGAACCCCATGGGCCAACCGAATGCGGGCCAAAACCCGGCGCAGTCTGGCAATAGTTGGCGGCGAGCGAAGGGGGGGATGTGGGAAGGAGAAGGCCTTCTCAGAAGGCGGCGGGACTTCTCGGGAGCCCTCGCGCCTTCTGAGTGGCTTTTTCTGTCTCTGGGGAAGGCTTAGAAAACTTCTCAGAGGGCCGGGTGACTTCCGAGACTTCTGAGAAGGCCCGCCTCTTCTCACTTACCCCCCTCGCTCGCAGCTGAAATAGAAAACTGGTTCACCCATCCACAATCATGTCCTAGTATGCGAAACCCCCAAGTCCAGCAGAAGCCGGCGCTCCCCGGACCGGGTTCTGGGGCGGCCGTTGCCACGTCAGCTCGAGAGTCTTGCTTCTGGCAGGAAGCGAGTTGGCCTGACCCAGGTTCTGCTCGACTTGAATCCCAGCGTGGTTGATTTAAATCCGGGCCTGGATCATTTGATCCGATGTATGGCTAATTCGAGCCAGGGGCTACATTATTTCTGGTTTGCTTGAAAACGGGACCATGATCGAACCTGTAAGTTATGGTTGGTTTGAGCCGGGCTCTGATTACTTCGACACAGTCTCGCGCTTGCGAACAACAATCGGGTCGATTTGACTTGGATTCTCCAGCTGGGTCCTGGCTGACATTTGGAGATCGTCGCGGATTCGAGCCAGGTTCTGGCTGATTCGACCTGGATCGTGATCGATTCGAGCTGGGCTCAAGCTGACGTGAGCTGAGCCTCGGCTGATGAGTGTTTCCAGCAAGGCCCAACTTCCATTTGAATCCCGTCTGCCTTCCAGGCGGCCAATGGCCTGGTGTTTGGCCGTGAGCTCCTCTCCACCCGATCCGTGCAGTCCCAGGGGCAGAGAAAGTTACCCCTCCCTCTGCGACGAGGGAACGACTCGGCCAGGAGAAACTAGGTCAGGCTGAACTCGGCCAGCTGAACTCGGCCAGGCTGAACTCGGCCCCGGCCGATTTCAGCTTGGCCAGGTTCAGCCTGGCCGAGTTGTTCAATGCCGAGCTTCATTGCTGCCCTGCCCCCTCCACATGGTCCTGATTTCGGAGGACATCTGGGCGTCAAGGTCCTCCACTCGTGCCTACGTGAAAAGCACTTTTGAGCAGCTCGGGTCACATTACAGTACACAACTGAATGTGTTACAGCATGCAAGACAAGATGTTACGACATGCCACTGGTAAACAACAACCAAAACCGTACCACACGGTGCCCACGATAAACAAGAGGCCCACGACATCAAGAGTGTCTACTCGGCCACACTCAAGCGCTATCATCCATCATCTCGGGCCTTCTGGATTCCCATCTGCGGCACCACGTAGCACAGCAGAGCACAACGCTGTACAATGCACCCACCAATGGATGACAAGCTGTATTTTATCTTAATACATATATATATACACACATACACACAATTACCCAGCTGTATCGCGCATACACCTATGATGGAGCATACAAAGAGAAACGAAAATCCAACAAGCACAACAACAGAGCAAAGAAACACACATGGAACGCCAAACATAAACATACAATCAATCCATGCGAAAACGATGTTGTCATGCATCCATTGTTCTCCCGCGAACTGTCACCAATGGTCTGCAAAGGCTTTCTGCAGATCGGGTTTCTAAGCGAGGAAGCTACTTTTCTTTCTGGCTTGCACGCATCGATAATAAGTGGTGCTGTTGCTCAAGAACTTTTGGGGGTCCACAAACTTGTGCGAGTGAGCTGTGGCCGTGAAAGTCTCTATCTTGTACGTCTGGTTGAACATAAAAGCCTCTTCGGGACTGCCCCAACGGTAGATGTCATAGACTGATCCTTCCTTCAGTCCTGTCACTGTCAGGGTTCCTGTCAGCTCCACTGGCTCCTCGCCCCCGCGGGTGTATGGCTCGGAGGCCCAAGGGCTGATGGACAAAGATGCTGGCAGTGCGTCGGGCCGGTGATCCAGGAAACCCTGAATGGACCAGATGTACCCTCGCTCTTTCCAAACGCACTGGGTCTCAAGTCCTGGACACCTCGCCTTTGAGCCTGGAGACCAATCTCCTGAAACCTCATTGGCCTTCTGGTACCAGGTGATCTTGTCAACATCGTCGAAGTAAACAAATGCGTCATCATCGTGGACTGCCTCGTCGGAAAGGGGATGATTAGACATGATTCCGATGACGGGCTCGATGTGGGCATAAACACCATTTGTGGTGTTGTCAAATTTGTACTCTATGTCTGGGTAGTCGTCGCCACCAAACATCACCATCCAAATGATAGGGTTCGAGTGGGATAAACTCTTCTTCATAAACTTGAGATACTGCGACGATTGAGGCGTTGGCAGCACATTGTATTCAAAACCCTCTGCCCTGAGTTTCAGCTTACGTAATGCGCCATCGATATTCGTGTTAAGTATCTCGTTATCGTGACCGCCACCGAACGTTGCGTGGTCCCGGACCTGCTGCTGCGACATGTAAGCACCCTTCGCCATCGCCGCGCGCTGGATGGACCAAGCCCCACAATAGCCACCGTGCGCAAACCATTGAACACCGGGCTTTACGTCAAGAATATTCTGATACTTGCGCAATGGCTTCTCACAGCCGGGGGCATTGCAAGCCTCAGGGGAATCAGATCGGTCCGCCTTCCGGAGTCTCTCTGCGAACCATGGGGGCATATGGGTCGCCATGCCCACCGCGGGAAAAATCAGGAATCTCATCATGGCTTCCAACACCGTGGCAAATCCGAACGATTAAATACGAAGTTTAGGTAAACCAAGTGATTCATGTATGCATTTATGGCCTGAGCCAAAAATGCTTCGAATCAGAACGGCTTGCGCCGAGAATGGATACGGGCAACAGGCTGTCAACGATAATGGAAGGGCCAATCAGCACAAGACAGACACCTTGCCGCCTGGCCCCCGAATGCATCGCGGCTTACGCCCCGCCCCCCGTACCACCCCGTGCAAGAAAAAACACCACTGGGTAGAGCTTGTACTACCGCAGCTCCCGATTATCCATTACCCCTTAAAGTAAACAAGAACGCCTTGAATTTACAAGGTAAATGAAGCGCAAAGGTAGTGGCGCGCTGCCAGCTCACCGAAAATCTAAGATTTTGAATTCAATCGAGCGGCTCTCTTCTAAAAGGTTCTGCAGGCGTCGGGCGTGTACTGACCGGGGGAGGAGGGGGGAGGGGGGGGTGCTTCAAGCTAGGTGCGCTCGCGTCATATCTGCATCCCATTACCATGGCGCAGTGGTAGCAGGGCATAGCATTACATGGCATAGCATGGTGGTGAAGATCAACGCGTAGCCTGACATAGCATGGCGTGGCGACGCCCCAAAGTGGGGGGGGCTTCTGCTGACCAAAACACCAACGAATCGACACCGAATGTGGAATCACTTCCGATGGTTGTTTCGGGGCGGAATTTTCTAGATTTGGGGGCCTTGTTGGGACGAACGAAGACCATGCCGTGGCATGCCGCGGGAAATAATGACGCCAGCGATTCGGAACGAGCGGAAGCGCGGAAATGAGGCCAGCGCTGCAGCGGGAGCACGATTCGGAGGACGCGTCGCCTGACATAGCATAGCGTGGCGACGCCCCGAAGTGGGGAGGGGGGGGCTTCTGCGACCCAAAAAATCGACACCGAATGTGGAATCGTTTCCAATAGTTTTCTCGGGGCGCCATTTTCCAGATTTTGGGGCCTATTTGGAAGGACCGAAAACCATGACGTGGCATGACGCTGGAAATAATGACGACAGAACTGCAGCGGGAGCACGATTCGGAACGAGCGGAAACGCGGAAATGAGGCCAGCGCTGCAGCGGGAGCACAATTCGGAACGAGCGGTAACCCGAAAATGAGGCCAACGCTTCAGCGAGAGCAGCATTATAAAAAAAAGAAAGAGCGAAAACCGTTTCCCGGGAATCCTGTGCACGAAAAACAATACGCGGAGGGGGGCCGAACATTCCCTGAACGTCACCAGGGGAGAAAGGGAGAGTGGTATTCATAGTGTGCAAATGTAGAGAAGGGAAGATTCGGACACTGGCTGCATAGAAAAGCCTGCAACTGAGCAGAGACACCCTTGCGCCTACAGAAACAGGCCAACATTGATTTTGTCCACATTGACACGACGTTTGCGGGAGATGCCATATCAGAATGCATGCTGTCGAAATTGGTGTATATACTATCCTGCTCACCAGACGACTTCGATAACGCTCATGCGAGTACCCACAAGCGCTAAACCACCCCAAATAGGAGCTTCTGGAGGTTGGGGGGTGATTCCGACGTAAAACGGAAACCCCCCGTACCGGGAAATCGATTTCGGTTTCGGGTTCGTGTCGTGCGTGCCGTGCGTGCGTGCGGGCGAGGCGAAGCTGCGTGGGCGGGCGAGAGGAAATCCTCTTGTGGCTGGGCCGCGGCCGGACCAAATGTTTCTCCTCCGGCGGCCGGTGACCCGCGGTGTCCCGCCGGTGTCCCGCTGGTGTCCCGAAATCCTCCTGTGGCTGGGCCGCGGCCGGACCAAATGATTCTCCTCGGGCGGCCGGTGGCGCGCGGTGTCCCGCCGGTGTCCCGCTGGTGTCCCGAAATCCTCCTTTGGCTGGGCCGCGGCCGGACCAAATGATGCTCCTCCCGTCAAACGGTGGCCCGCGTCAACAGTGTGGCGGGGCGCTTCGCCAACATCGCCACATCACATCACGCTCACGTGCACAATCGCAATACTCACTAGACTCCGCCCCACAAGCATCGTCAGAACAACAATGACCACTTTTGCCCATTGCTGCCCCCCCGACCTCCTTATCACCCGCAGGGTGGTGGTCGTATAGGTATAACAATGTCCGCCACCGTGCCTACGGCACATTGAAGCGTGGAAGAATGCCAAGGGCTGCCTGGCAGTATTTCTGCGGTTTTCTAAAGGGGACCCCATCCATCCTCCCGGTCACACCCAAGGAACTGCATCACCCCTACTCCCGGCGGTTCCCTGGGCGGCCATACCGGCCTCCTGACGCTCCCCAAGGCTTCCATGACGGCGCGGAAGCCCCCAAAACGGTCCAAAAGAGCCCCAAATCGCCGAACGATCGCTCGACATGGCCCAAGAAGCCTCCAAGGCACCCCAAGAGGCCTCCAAACACTAAGGCGCAATTCGCACCCGACCTTGCAAATCGTGCCCGACCCGTTTCGTACCCGATCTTTTTCGTACCCAGCCCAACTCGCACTCGACCCGACTCGGACCCAGACCCGACTCGTACCCAGCCTCCTGTCCGAGCCCGATTCCACCAAGCACTACCCGTCTCGATCCATCCGGCGTCGCACCCACGCGCCCCGATGCACCGAGAGCGCGGTGTCCGAGACACGCCGGGTCCGAGTCAGGGGGTCCGAGTCGGGCCGGGTCCGAATCGCGCCGGATCCGTGTCCGAATCCAGCATGGTCCAGTCGCGCCGGGTCCGAATCGCGCAAGTCCGACGGGAACGAATCGGGGTTTTTACGCGAGGGTCCCGATTCGCACCTGGGCCGAGAACGGTCCCATGAGCGCGGCCAGCCTTGGAGAAAGAGACGGAAGAACTGAACGCATGTTTTTACAGCGCATGCGATGCAAACTCTGTTGCGCAACGAATGTATGCTATGTTGTGCATCTGCGTGTTGCATTATACCCGGCACAAGCTGAAGCGCAAAGAACACAAAACAACGGAAGATTTTCTTCGGCGGCGCAGCAATCGACATGACCTCACCATGTCGCCCCCAATTCAAACTCACTGTGCGAACGCAGGGGCAAGCCCCACTCAGCGCACACACGCGAGCCTGGGGAGCAAAAAATCCTTCAAACGAATTATGCCGTTGAACACCCGGTCGGACCCAAAGACGACCTGGCAGGGAGCAACACCAACAAAACGCGCGCTAACAAGCTGTGAAACGTAGAGGAAAGCAGGAAGAGGGGGGTGAGGGGATGGGAGCAAGGAGGGGGGGGAGGGGAGGGAGGGAGGGAGGAAAAACAAAACACAACAACAGAGGAGAGCGAGAAGGACGAGAAGAAGCGGGAGGCCCTGCTGCGAACCACACAGCGCACAGGACCGGGGAGGAGGGGGGGGGGCGAGAAAGAGCAGGAACAACGGACGACAGCAGCAAGCAAGACAACACACGAAGGCAGACGGCGGAGGACAATGGCAGCAGACAGGGAGAGAGGAGTTGTTTTTTGACATCAACGCCACGCCTCCAAAACCTTGGACTGACCAAGGAAACGAGCCAGCAGCGGAGGGGGATGCTGGCACCTTGACCATGGTAAACACCAGGGTCACCGCGCAAAAAATGGCAAGACGAGAGGACGAAGTCCACTGCGTCCAAGTGCCCAAGCTCGTCGCACACCTGCCACAACATCTCTATGAGAAGGGGCAGGGGCGCAGTGCCACGGAGGGCACAGAGCAGACAGCGCAAAAAATCCAACTGCAGAGCATAGCAGCTGGAAGGTTCTCTCGTGCCGACTGCCCTCGGCTGAACAAGAGGGACAGCGAGCAAGACAGAGCCCCACCCACTCGCCAGTGGCTAAAAGCGGTGGGGGGCAAGGCGGAGGGGCGTGCAACGAGCGCACACACGAAGACGCGCGCCCAACGCCTAACAAAAGGATGTTGGGGCCAGGGACCAAAGCCCCAGGCCGCAGCAACATCGGACGAGCCACAGTCGGGATAAAGATACCCCCGTGCTCGGAAACGCAGAGCGCACCCTAAGTGCGCATGCACCTTCCCCCAAGAATGGGGCGCCTGACACGCGTGCACAACGGACGCACGCACAACGAACAGCACAAAAACATGCAAAGGAGAAGATTCGACCACCCACACAAGGACGGCGAGCCCGCAGTCCCTGGTGCAGCCAGCGCCAGGACGACATACGGTCACGCCCCAGATGTGGGGTACAGCACGGATGCCTGCCAAAAGGGTCAGCCGCATCGGGCCGTGCAAGAAAACACAAGACGGCGAACCCTCGCCACTGGGAAAAACTCGACCACCCACACAAGGACGACGAGGTCCGAAGCCCCTGGTGCAGAGAGCGCCAGGACGACCTCAGTCTCGCCCCAGATGTGGGGTTAAGCACGGATGCCTGCCAAAAGGGTCAGTCGCATCGGGCCGTGCAATGAAAGAACGACAGGCCGCCCTGTGCCACACAACTCAATCAGAACTATCCGACTCATCCTGGCGGCGTCTCGCCAGGAAAGAAGGGGTGAGCTGTCGCGACTGTTGGGGTTTCTGCCGCTCCTCGTGCGCAGGCACCTCGGAAGTACCTTCGGCAAGGGCGGCAAGTGCGGCCTCAGAGCTGAAACACTGAATCAGACCTTCCGTGTCTACCGTGACGCCAGCAATACGCAACTGATACCTAGGGTGGAGGCTTTTGCACAGATACCCCCAACCCTGCTTGCACGCACGCGAAGGGACCGAACACACACTGTTTGCTGAGTCCACGAATGTGCCCACCACACGTGAGACATTCACATCTGAGACAAATAAAGAGAACAGAGTAATCAGAACACGGAAAAGCCACAGTCCGATGGCCCAGCGCGTCCTGAGAGTCAGCGTGGACAAGAGAGGACCTAGAGCAGGAACCTGGAGCTGGCTTCGAATAGGAACGACTCCCCCTCAAACAGTGAGCGCACCTCCAGATTCCGCCCCACGACCTCCAGTCGTGCCCAAGCACCTCTTTCCTCGGGC